GAAAGCCCTTAATGACTGAGGTGAAGTGTGAAACATAGGCTATTGGACTCTGACCTGGAAAGATCCTTATCTAGATTAGTTTTCAGGTAAGCATAAATAAGGAGATAGAATGTCTCATTTTATATGTGAATTTTACATCTTGAAGCTGTGATTCAAATCTTGAGTTCAAGTCTTGAGTTCTTGCAGTGGAAACAAAGCTATCCTTTCAGTTCTTGGTTCGCTACAGAGATTTTTAGCATTTCCTTCAAAGCATGCACCTTGAAAACACCAGGGGAGAAGAGATACAGCTCAGGTAAGTGCCTGGGCACCTTAGAATGCTTTGCGATCTCTCTCCAGCAAGACATACCATGGTCAATCTCTCTTTTCTGCCAGTTTACAGACAGTAAGCTTGTTGCTGTTGATTCATGCAATAGATGTACACTAAAACAATGATAAATCTGTTCTGGGTAAGTTAATTAAACAATGCAATTCCCAATTACGTGCAATTTTAATATTTATACATTTAACATGTGTGGGAAAGGTTCACAGAATTTCATTTGAATGTTGTGATACATCATCCTGCAATGGGTTGCTGTTATGTTCAGTGCAAGAGTTCCTCAATGGGGAAATCTTCGAAACAGAATTAACTATTATGTTACCCAGTCTGGGTGGGTTTTGTCTACTGCCAGGACGAAGAGGCAGAAGAAGCATTCTATAAGCATCTGGCTGATGTTTCACAATCCCTAGCCCTTGTCCTTGTGGGAGACTTTAACCTGCTGAGTGCCTGCTGGAAACTCAAGCAGCAGAGAGGAGGCAGTCTAGGAGGCTTCTGGAGTGTGTGGAAGAGAAGTTCCTGACACAGCTGGTAAGTGAGCCTACCAGGGAGAGTGCCCTGATAGACCTGCTCTTTCTGAACAGAGAAGGGCTGGTGGGAGATGTGGTGGTTGGAGGCCATCTTGGGTAGTGACTACGAAATGATAGAGTTTTCAATTCTTGGTGAAGTAAGGAAGGGAGCCACCTAAACCTCGATCTTGGGCTTCTGGAGGGTGCATTTCAGCCTGTCCAGGACACTGCTTCAGAGAGCCCATTTGGAAATAACCCTTAAATCCAGAAGGGTCCAGGAGTTCTGGACATACTTTCAGAAGGAATTCTTAAAGGCACAGGAGCAGGCTGTCTCTATGTGCTGAAACGTGAGCCAGGAGGTAAGACCATCAGCCTGGCTGAACAAGGAACTTTTGCTGGAAATCAGGGGGGAAAAAAGAGAGTTTACAACCTTTGGAAGAAGGGGCAGGCAATTCAAGAATACAAGGATGCTGTTAGGTCATGCAGAGTGAAAATTAGAAAGGCAAAAGCTCAGCTAGAACTCTATTTGGCCACTGCTGTGAAACAATAAAAAGTCTTTTCATAAATACATTAACAACAAAAAGAGGGCAAGGAAAATCTCCATCCTTTATTGGATGTGAAGGGGAACATTGAAACCAAGGATGAGAGAATTGCTGAGGTACTTAATGCCTCCATCTTCAACAGACTAGTTATCCTCAGGGCAACCAGCCCCTTGAGCTGGTAGACAGAGACTGGGAGCAGAATAAATCCTCTGCAATTCAGGAAGAAGTAGCTACTGATCTGCAGTGTCACTTGGACAGACACAATGAAGCCAGATGGGATTCATGCAAGGGTACTGAGGGAGCTGGCAGAAGAGCTTGCTAAGCCACACTCCACCATCTATCATGAGTCCTGGCTAACTGGAGAGGTACCAGATGACTGGAGGTTGGCCAGCATGACACCCATCTATAAGAACAATTGGAAGGAGGATCTGGGGAACTACAAGCCTGTCGGTGTGACCTCAGTGTCAAGGAAGGTTATGGAACAGTTAATCTTGAGTGCCATCATGTGACACGTACAGGACAACCAGGGGATCAGGTCCAGCCAGCATGGGTTTATGAAAGGCTAGTCCTGTTTGACCAACCTGATCTCCTTTTATCCACCTGCCAAGTGGCTGTGGATATAATCTACCTGGACTTCAGTAAAGCCTTTGATCCTGCCTCTCATAGCATTCTCCTGGAGAAGCTGGCAGCTCATGGCTTGGACAGGTGTGCTCTTCACTGGCCTAAGAACTGGCTGGATGGACAAGCTCAGAGAGTGGGGACAAACAGTGCTACATCCAGTTGGTGGCTGGTCACTAGTGGGGTTCCCCAAGGCTCAGTATTGGGGCCAGTCCTGTTAAATACCTTTATTAATGATTTGGATGAGGGGATCAAGTGCATCCTCAGTAAGTTCACAGACAACACTCAGTTGGGCAGGAGTATTGATCTGCTGGAAGGTAGGAAGGGGCTGCAGAAGGATATGAACAGGCCAAGGCCAACTGTATGAAGTTCAGTAAGGTGAAGTGCTGAGTCCTGCACTTGGGTGACAACCCCATGCAGCAATAAAGGCTTGGGGAAGAGCAGCTGGAAAGCTGTCCAGCAGAAAAGGACCTGGGGGTGCTGGCCACAGTCAGCTGAACATGAACCAGTAGTGTGCCCAAGTGGCCAAGCAGGCCAATGGCATCCTGTCCTGTGTGTCAAAAAGTGTGGCCGGTAGGACTAGGGAAGTGATTTTCCCCATGTACTCAGCACTGGTGAGGTCACACCTCAAGTACTGTGTCCAGTTCTGGGCCCCTCACTACAAAAAAATCATTGAGGTGCTGGAGACCAGAGGACAAAGCTGGTGAAGGGTGAAGTCATATGAGGAGCAGCTGAGGGAGCTGGGGTCATTTAGCCTGGAAAAAAGGAGGCTCAGGGGACACGTTCTCAATCTCTACAAACTACCTGAAAGGAGCTTGTAGCAAGATGGGGGTTGGTCTCTTCCCCCAGGCCACTAGCAACAGAACAAAAGGAAATGATCTCAAGCTGTTCCAGCAGAGCTTCATCAGGATGAATTTTTTCACTTGAAGGGTGGTTAAGCATTGGAATGGACTGCCCACCATCCCTGGAAGTATTCAAGAAACAACTGGATGTGGCACCTATTAAGTATCTTTCTGATGAAATTTCATAGTACAGGAACACCTGGCATTAAGCATACAAGAAATTAAGAACTTGAAACCAAAGAATGGCAAAGAACTACTAACAAAGCAACATGAATACTTTGATATTTTTCAGGCACATCTGTAGCATGTATTTGGTAAATTATATAAGGTTAATAAATTACCATCTAGAGTACATCCACCATCATCTCCTTAGCTATTGTCATGCTACAATACATCTTCATTATGCTTTTAACCCTTAACTGCTATGTTGCTGCCATCTTAAGAAAGAGAAAGAGAGTTCCATGGCAAGAGATCTTTCAAGTAGCAGGCAATTCACTACTGAAAAAGCCACTTAGACAGGTTACAAAGAGTGCATTAGCAGTTTCACTCTTGAGGAAATCAGCAGTGTTTGCAGGTTATTCCAAGAACTGACCCCTAATGAAGACACAAGGTTTTTTTCTCTATATATAGATATACACACATATGTACTCATTTTCACGTAAACTAACAACAGAATTTTAATATTACCCACATATTCCAGGCCTAGGATCTGCCAAATAATCTCTAGGGCTTCATTCAAGAATTTTCCAGAGAAAATTACCTAGTGCAAATGCAGATTTAGCCACCATGCCCTACCAGTACTTTTATTATGATGCACATGAGTGGAGGCTATTGCTCTATAAAACCTAATTCCTGTGGCTATGTTTCCTGGCCCTGTAAGTCACCTCTCACCACTATTTCAAGTACTGCTGTTTGAAGTATGTGGTGCTAGGCACAACTACATCCACACTGTACTCTTTCGAGCTATGGCTATGGGCCACAGTACAAAACAAAAAAACATTTGTAGACAGCAAGTAAAGCTCATCTACTTGAGGTAAGTTGCAGCTCACTATGCTGCTTCACCAAAATACCCTCCAGAAAATGTGCTGTAAGGATTTTGAACAACAGCAATACTTTGTGTAACAAAAGTAGCCTCTGTAGGATACTGCACTGATACCTAGCACACACAGAGATCACAATCCTCAACTGCAACAGTACCTCTTTGTACCCAACGTGGTATCTGAGGCACTCACGGCTGCTTAGGTTAATCTCTTTCTGGCTGGACACTAAGCATCTAACAGTGTCATCTTTCCTGGAGCTAGGACCAGAGCCCAAACAGCTTTGTCTCCGACCTCTGCCAGTTCACCTTCAGAGAAGCATTAGTTGTATTTGGTACAACAAATGTTAGTCTGGAATCACAGAAAATGCCTACGATTCTTCAAAGACTGTGTCCGGGCCGTACAGTTCGTAACACCTGTCAGACAGACATAGGGACTCAACAGTATGACTGCCATAACCAGAGCACTTAATATAACATTCCCTCTGTAACAGGTACTTTTCTTCTAAGCTGGAATAAAGACAGAGACAATAAATAAAGAACTGGTATAAATAGAAAATGGTTTATTTAAAAAACAAACAACGAACAAAAAGTCACAGCAAAATCACACTTCAGTGCGTGGCCAAAGGTCTGACTTTAATTTAAACTACATAGCCAGCAGCCACGCTTCAAAAGTCATGCAAGCATACACATAGAAGGGAAGCTGGTGTCTGCTGGCATACTCCCCAAAATCTCCCTTGGGGTGGTCTTTAGAATATATTGAGTTTCTTAGCAAGGTATGAAGTTTGAATTCCTACAGGGCACTGAGGAAGTGAAGAACAGTTGCCTTTATTTACACATACAGGACTTCCATAATGACCTGTCAAATAGAAATGCAATTTTCTAACAGCACTGAAAACAGTGACAAACACAGGAAAAAAATGCAGATAAGCATGCATACTGCAAGGGTTTTTGTAACTTTTTTCCCCAATACAGTTTGCTTTGAGGAAGTATTTAATTTTATTCCACAAATCTATGCAAACTACTTACACAAAGTCATCAAGAATTACATGCTTCTGTATACCAGTTAAGACTTTCTACATACAAATGATGCTGCAATCCTCCTTTATAACAGAAGGGAATGTGAAACATTCTTCATTTTAAAGTAACTCTTTCATTAATAAGTCTGCTTTTAAATGAGATATTCTGAAAGAAAGCTTTCAGCATTATCCAAAAGGAGTTTATATGCATACTTTGTCTTCATTGCTAAAGCCACCCCCCGAGGAACACTGCTCAGGTATATGGTTTAGGTATGTGTAGAGCATGATAAGGGTTCTGTAAAGACCTTTTTTTATTGAAGAAGCTGCTCAGTCTCCTTGGACTTGCTTTCTTTTGTTTTCCTCAGTAATGCCTGTTTTATAGCATTGATCTTTTCATCAAGTTCAGCCAATGAATAGTTCTGCTAAAATAACAAAATAAGAATCACAATCATTTACATCTTGTAATTGTTAAAGAAGTGGCCTAGCCCCTGATACCTAAGGTCACTGCATATTGCACTAAGTGATAGAAATACCTTTGCAAAATTGTCTGAATCTAGTCTTTGGCAATTTAAACTTGAAAATAATGTAAACTTAGAAGAAACAGACAGTCCTAGTCATTGATCAATATATCCATGCTACTTCTATTAGATGCTTGTTTAACCTGCTCATAGAAATTCCCAAAATCCTTTGATGTTAAAACACTGGGTGAGATTATCTAGATCTTGTAGAACTTGGTTTTACAGTGAAGGGTTTTTTTCCTATTGCCCAACATCAAGCTCCTCTGAACCCACTTAACCTGACAATTTTTTTAAGCCTGCTTACACAAACTGGTCATCAGTCTTTTTATACAAATATTTTACCCTAGGCAAGGTTTTTGTCCTCATAGAAACAACCCTTACTTCCTCCAGTCTCAAATGGCCCACATCCCATTCTAAGCATTCTCCCCAGTCCATCTGTCTCCAAGTGTGATGGCCTAGCAGCAGACAGCATTCCAGCCAGGATCTCACTTGCACTGAGGAGAACTTCTCTCTTGTGAACTAAGATACGAGGTTAATGCGTTCCCTTTATATGGTGGTGCTGTGAAAATGGCAAGTGTTACTGACAGTTAATATCTGCTATAATGTGTCTCTCTGCAATACTTTTGCTGAACCAGTCATTTCTACTTTTGCCTCTTCATAAACCAGTAAAACAAATTGAAAAATAATTTTGAAATCAACAACAAACACTAAGCCACAAAACAAAACCAGAAGACATTGCTAGGGGACTGATCAGAACACAGAAATTGCTTGTTACTTCCCAGCTTGATTAACAATATCAGACTTGTTTTATTCCATCATCCTTCTAACTGGTGAACACACTAATTTACCCTAGTACAGGTTCTTAGAAGACTCATTTCATTTTAACACCCATTAGCTCTGTCTCCTTTTCCTCCTTCTTTGCTATCCAATACTGACATAGCTATTTTTGAGAAGTTAGATATTTGCTTGGTAGAACTTCTGATTACTTTTCACTCAAAACAACCTAAACATAAGGTAAACAAAAGTTAACAGCACTTACATGGGGAGGGTGAACTTTTCTCCTCTTGCCAGAACAGCTCTAAAGAAAAGATAATCAAAACAGACTTAATGTTACACTGGCAGAGGATCACAAATAATTCTGTAACAAAGTTGACAAAGTCTTTAAAGCATACAAAGAACACTGACTGCCATTCCATGAATTAAAGAAATCTTCTTTATAATTAAGTACTTTGGATTATGAGAAATGCTACTGGAGAGCAGTCAGAAGCTGTTGAAGCTTCTCTACACTTGGCAGCCAACAACTAGCAATTTAACTGAAGCTTCCTTCAGAGAGAATCAAGCTTTTGAAACTGTAAATATTTTTCTCCCTAAAATTTGCCTGTATCCACACCAATATTTATGCAAAGTTTGGATTAAAAAAATGCTAATTATTGTGCAACTCTACTGTTGCCACCATCACAAATTTCTCCCCAATTCCCATTCTAGAGAAGATCCTAAATCACTTTCCATAGAGATTTTGGCTTATGAAAGTGTATGTTTTAACTTCTGGTTTTCAACAACTTGAAGGAATAGCCTCACAAAGAACTTTATTGGTCTCCAACACAAATCACAAAATGAAACAAAAATTTATAATATTGCTATTGATTTTTAATTGCTGACTCTTCTTTGGCTGGTCTCAAGAACAAAGATATAAATTAAAATATGATCAACAATAAAAGAGACATGCTTACTGCTACATTGGGAAAGAAGAGCAAGATAAGGGACAAGAAATTTCTACAGCCAAGTAGGGCCTGATGTAGTAATGACTAATGGTATCTGTGTCCTAATATCATTTGGCAAGTGACGGTTAAGATATACTATTCATAAAGAGACAGAACTCAGTCTGAAAACCAGAGACAAAGAAACCTAAGTCATAGAATCACATGAAACAATTTTTAAAAGGTTTACTCTCTTATCCTTTTGGAAGTTATTCACATAGCTGATCATTAGAAATCAGATCATGTACAGAAGCCCAATGGATTTCAGCTGATTTAAGCCATTAATGACTTGTATATAAATCAAAACTTTAGTCAGTTTTCTTGACATAAGAAACACTTCAGATTTTAAGGCAGGGCAGAGAAATCCAACCTTTATGATACATTCCTTACAGTTGAGTTTGGGTGGCTACAATTTTTTCTTTTGACTGAGAAATTAGGTAGAAATATGAACTTAAGGAGATGGTCCATGTGTAATACAACCATTACACCAAGCCAGAGTTGTCTATCAAAAGTGTCTGCCCTCTGACTCCTGAAGTTTTTCTCTGTATATCAAAGATTTAAGCATGAAAGGCCTGAATGCATTTAAGTATGTCAAAAAGAAGGTGAGAGAATTTCTTACTACAGATTGAAAATATTCAGGAGACAGTCCTTCCAGCTCAAGGATTTTATCTTCAAGTTTCTTAATTCTCTGATAAATGTCTCTTGGTACCGGACCACCTGAAAACATCAGTATAAATGCAAGGAAATCAGGAAAAGCACTTGAATAACTTTTTAAACTAAAGACTGCAAGTTTGACACATAAATTCTTCAACACCAGCTAACAATCAGTAGCTGAAACAAAAAAGAAATAAAAATAAAAAAGAAAGATAATTAATATGACTCAGAGTAAAACTTGATGGCTAAGACAGTGCAGTCAGCAAATGCAGTAAGACGAGTTTATGCAGCTGGTTGACATATGTCTGACAAGGACTCTGGAACAACTAATGATCACTCTTACAATACACTGGTCATACATGAAATGTTACCACTTCAAAACTGAGAGCAGCATTAGGAGAGCAGATGAGATGGCAGACCACTCATGAATTCAGCATTGATATCTAAGATTGTTCTAAAGGAAACCTTTCTCCACTGAGCATCAGAGGTTAGAGGACAGGTATGAGTTGTGCTTGACAAAGAACAGTATTTGCCTGGTCATAGACGGAAGAACACAGGTGGGGAATGGAATAACAGAGCTTTGAAATAGAGAGGTTTTAAAATGACTAAACAAACAAAATTTCAAGCTCCCCCAAGAACCACCCTCCGCAAAAAAAAAGCCCATAAAAAAACCCACAAGCACTACAAAAACAAGAGCAACAAAAAACCTACCTCAACCCATTTGCTGTTTTCATCTATACTACAGCAGTTTGGGCTTGTTTCCCCATGTAAAAACAGAACTGATCAAAATATCAGCCTTAGCCAGTATCTCACTTATACATAGTATTCTATAAACTGAAATAACTGACTATCACAACTAAATACTGGCTATTAAAATGATTGTTTGGTTCTGAACAGTAGTGACAACCAAAGCCTCAGCAAGCTTTTACTTCTTGTCACCCATTTCCATTTATTTCTAGGTCTGTTAGGCAAGACAATTCTATTTCACAAACTACTGAAATAAGCACTAATCTGGAGGGGCTTTCGTCATTCATCTATTTTGTCCCTTCAAACAAACAATTTTGCAGGTAGTTTCCCTCCTTCAGTTCTGCTCTCTACTCATCACTCAGCAGCTACTAATTAAATCGGCTAACCTCTCACTCTTCTTAATATTGCTTTCTCTTAATGTAAAGGGAAAAAAGCAGTGCTAGCACTACAAGAAGCTGTTCTGAAAAACAGCAGGTGAGTCAGGATTAACTCTTTCTATCACTAGAAGCAAAAACTAGTGAGCAGGTAGCTGAGGCAGGTTACCTGCTCAGATGAATACTTTTTGCACAGCTGCTGGGTTAAGCAACAAATAATCTTGAGACCTTCCCCTTGAATGCTGGTTTGGACAGGAGTGGAGCTGATATTGCATGCCTTCATCTTCTCACCCTGTTCTATAGTTTAGCTGACATGTTCCTTCAAACAAAATTATGTCACCTATTATAGGCAATAGGACCCCTCCTTGGCTACATCCAGTCATTATCCCTGACACGCGTGAACTCCAAATTTACACACTGTAACCCTAATGCAGGTCAGCCACTTGCAAATTTGATTTCCATGTACAAAATCCAACTTATTTTTGAGACAGCTATACAGCTAAGCGTCAAGCTCTAACTGCTGCCTCAACGGCATCTAGGCACATCCTACTCTTCTTGTTGCCAGAGGACCTTAATCCAGTACACATTCACAGGAATCAGTGATCTAGTCAATGTCCATCATATTCTTGGCATCTATTTGGTATTCAGAAGACAAAAAAGGTGAAGTGTGTGTCTGCAGTGTGATGCGTAGAAAATTCGCTTTCCTGGACTTGGGCTTCTGTTCTGTTTTGAAACCAATTTTCAAGAAAAATACAAAGTCCTTCTTGATAGATGCCTCATTGATTTATATTATAGAAAACTGGGGCTGGGGTGAGGAAAGCAACTACCTATAAAAACATCAGTAGCCTGATGGCTATGGCATTTATTCTAGTGAAAGGTGTAGGCTCATGTTTGCATGGCTAAAGGGAAGCACGGATAACAAGTTCCCACATTCTGGGAAATAAGCTTTACACCTAACTGTATTTCAAGAATTGTCCACCTTTAGGAAAGGACTTCAGGTTGTCTTTTGGGTTGATTTTATCCCCAGCCCACAAGTTGCCCAGGAAGCAGCACCGAGTCCCCACCTCAGCTTTTCCTGTTCAGCGGGTCAAGGCAGAAAGATTCCACTGAACCTCTACCTCCAAATATACCAGATTGTCTTAAATCCTGTTCTGAAGTGCCACTCTCGTTTGCCCCCACATAACGTGTACATTTACTAACTCAGCATCCCAATTTGGGCTTAAGGACCTAAACATTACATCATACTTGGGGTGAATGAAACCCTTTAGTGGACCCACTCACTCTTTTTACAATAACAGTTTTAATAGACTTGCCCAGTTTCACCACAGTAATGAGAACTGTAGTATAAACTAACATACCAATGTCAAAATCAAAACATGGTACAAACCTGCTTGTAACCGTAAGTGTGCTTCAATGTTTTGCAATCTCTCCTCAACGGCTTGGTTTCCACAATCATGCATGGGTACACTGACTTTGTGACTGGACACATGTGCTCCTTCAGATCTAGTCTGAGGTCCATATGTATTTACTACCCTAGAAACTAGATGAGAACACAAATTTCTCATACACACACATGAAACTCAGAGCACAACTGAAAGAAACAAAATATTAAAACATGAAAACCTGTGTTAAATCAATTTCACACAAGTCTCTTAGATGAAGAGTCCCACACATAGTAAGATCAACAGTTCAAGTAAAAATATTTTCCTATTTTTTGCATGAGTAACTAAGCTAAACAAAAACCTAGGACTTTACATATGCAAAGTAAAAGAATTACTCATACATTCATGTGGAATGGCAGTATCAAGAATTTGTCATCAGCTGCTGATAAATAGCAGAAACCTCGATATCTATGTCAGCAGTTGTACATGTGAGCTGTTGTGAATGCAAAGAAGAGGCCACCCCTAGTATTACAGGAAGTATCATAAATACATGAAGATGGTGGGAGGCAAACAACTAGAAGAACTGGTACAAATCTCAGCAAGGAAGTTCACTTCTAATTTTTGTTATTCGGGTGAAAGCTTTAGTGACTCCTCAGCTGCTTCTGGGTCTGTCTTTTACCCATGCTGAGCCATGTGTTCATCAAAAGATTTTGATCGCTTCTCTTTAAATCACAGTCAATTCTTAAGTCCTTCCTGACAGAACTACTGCAGTGTACTGCAGACTTAAGGACAATGCTGGCAACTGAGGACGCTGAAGCAACACACACACCCCCCCACACACCCACCCACCCCTTCTTACTCAGTACTTCGCAAAGGCCACATGTTACATTCTTAATTTGCTTATGCTGGTTTTACTTCCAATTCCTTTCTAAGTGTTGTTACTGTTTCAGTTATGAACTGCTACTTGAAGTGCAAACTTCCTTTTTTCCTGTAATATGCCACCACCCAAGTTACAAAGTAGCTCTCAGTTTAAAAACATGACTACTGAAATTGGTATTTAGTGAAAGATTCTAAACTCAAGCTCACTTCCCCATCTCCCTCTTAGTACAACAGACCTTTCAATGCTCATCACTGTGCTACACAGTATTGTTCTGAATTAGAGAATTCAGAATAGTTATCAGTTTTCTAGAACCAATATGAAGCAGATAATTGAATACTATCACCTCAAAAATAGACGTTACTTTCATGCTGGTTTTGGTTGTTTTGTCTTTAAACACAGGGTAACTTGTGTGCATCTAGAGAGTAGCAGATGGACAAGCAATATTTTATATATAACTTTTGTTGGACCATCATTTCTACATTATTTACTCCTTTCCAAACCTTAATGCAGTAGTATAGTCATTCCCCAGCTTGTCACTTCCCATAAATCTATGTCTTGGAACTTTCACTGTGTCCCAAAACTATTTTTTAATTCAATATACTTATACCAACTAGCAAAAAATAGAAGATAATTCTGTTTAATCTCAATTCCTTAATTGAACTGCTGGCTTCACCTTAGAAGAAAAGCTAAGAATTGTTCAGCTTCTCTGTCCTGCTTTATCTTTTGCACATTTCCCTTCAGACTGTGAAAACAGGCTATTGTGGTTTGATCTTCAATGCCTAACCACTAGTTTAATGAAACCATTATGGGACTGAAAACCTTGGAGATGTACATGAAGATGTTAAAGTATTCACTAGAGTTTAAAATCCATACATGAAGTTTGCATTTTTGCGTATCCTAAACAAAGTTTTGAAGTCAAAAATTCATCATTGCTGTTACATCTGGACACTTAATAAATGGGTATTAAAATAGTTGCTTACCCTTTATATGGCTTTTAAATCCAGGATAGGGTGTGAAAATTGCATCTGTTCTGGCACAGCTATTTTCTAAATAAATAATAATAAAGTGAGGTCTTAATTATGCATTTATAATTTAAAATATTCTAACCATCATCAGCTTTGATGCTTTTAACAAATCTAATTAAAATGTTTCATACAACAAAAACATCAGAAATACTTCATTCTTTCTACAAGCACTTGCCCATTAATAGCTTCACACACTTGCATGGACCTACTGGTTTTAATTGAGTAAGTCACTCATATAAATGTATGCACATGTGTATATAAAAGTTTATTGATCATGACCAAATTTATTGGTTCTTACTTTTCACTGCATTTCTCTGTAATTTATTTATTTCTTCCTGTATAGAAATTTTTTCCCTGCTTACCACTGTTAGTCTGGGTTTATGTCCTTTTCTGAAACTGCTCTCCCATTTTTAGACTGATCTAGTTTACTCATCAGCATTCTTTTCTAAGCCTTCCAGCATTTATTCTGATGCCTGTGACTTCTTTCATTTGTTTAACCATAAAAGCCTACAGTACAGACTACTTTAGTTTATTCTAGTGTTTATATTTTAATCTCTGTTCATATAGACCAAAGTTTTACACATTTTATTATGCCTGAACATATCAAGAAAGGTCTAATCATCATTTCTTCTGTACATAATTAGCAATTTTGGGTATGAGTATTTTACTATTTAGCATATTCTGCATTCCAGCTAACATTCAAGGAATTAAACTATCTTCCTATAAAGCTTATGCAACAATAAGCTTTGATCTCAGAGCATAAGTACCTCACAGAGACAATGCACATCTGGGTTCACAGGTACTTAGAAATGTCTCTTACGTACATACAAGTGTCTTCATTGTAAGATGCATTTGGCTACAGTTACTGATCATGTTAATGGGACCCAGTCTACCAGATAGATTTAAGATTGTTTAGTTACAGATACAGTCAACTGTACCAGCTGGTGTATGAAAAACACCAACAGTGTGAGCAACGTTAAAAGGAAACAGATATTCTAAGAAGCTAGTAAAGCAAATTGAGTGCCAGAATACTTTTTTGTAATCTAACTAGTATTAAATTAACTTCAGTTTGAATATGTAATTCACAAAGCATTTTCTGAATCGCAATTCAATTTACTTTGGAGGAACATCTAGTTAAAAAACACTGGGAACAATAGTTACAGAATCATCTGATCCAGGATAGCAGTTCTTAAAACAAACACAGTAATAGCTATTGTCTTTTTGTATGGGATACATTAAACATTGTCATCCAATGACTACTTTCTTTTTTTTTTCTGACATCTGCAGTGCACATGCAAGTTCTTAAGGCTAAAACAGTTACTCTTAAAAGAAAGTTCTGTTTTAAATGTAGATTAGTGCTTTTGAAAAATAAAAAAATTATTAAAGAAAAAAGCCACACAACTTAAATTGCTATGAAGATTAAAGTCTGGCTAGCCAGTTACCTTGATTACAATCAATAACATTGCAAAATTCCCTGACATTATTTTCATTGATCTCAGCTTGTTTCCTCTCGATGAAGGCTGATATCCGCCTGTCAATCTGCAGGTAATAAACATGATTGTATATATCTATTTCATTCTTTAAATTTAAAATTTAGAAAGCTGTTTAAAAAAAAAAAAAATCAGGTAAATCACTTACTTCTGCTTTTCCAGCTTTTATTTGGACCACCTCTGCATCAAAATCAATATGAGCATCCTTCAGATCTCCCAAGTCATAACTTGCATACTTTTCTTCAGTCTGACAGTTACCATCATAAATATCTAAACTTGTTTCACAAGTCTGGCTTTCTGTTTTACCTGCAGGTTCAACGGGGCCTATATTTTCCTCTTTAATCAATGACTGGAGTTTTTCTAAAAGAGGCTGAACAAAGAAAGCAGTATGTTGGGGTTAAAAAATAAAAGCCAAAAAGTCCCCAAAACAAAAGGCCAAGTACTACTACAATTTCCAAAACAGAACAACAAAAATAATTTTGGGAATTACGACATCTTCCTTTGATGGAACACAGTAATAAGATTTTTTTAAAGGTCCAAATATTGTGCACACCATGATTCTGACCTTTTTGACCCGTGCCTTTTAGAGGTTTGTAGAGGAAAGCTCCCAACTTTGAAAATCTGCCCATACTCTCCTGTTACTAGCTAAATCAAAGCTTCAATCGTTGGCATCAATGCCACTTAATTAACATGTCATTCAAATGCTTACTCAGAACAGTAAGGCTTAGTATTTTTCCTACTTAACATGAAAGCCAATGCTTACACACTGTAAAGCCTTTACTTTATCACCACAGCACTACATTCTCCACTTGAAACCACAGTTGCCCAAGTGAATGTGCGAACGCAGACATGAAATATATAGGCGTTATCCTGGACACATGCTTTGCTTGACATGGTTGATTATCTACTTAGGTCATGAAATTAAATGAGAGAATGCATTTGTAGCAGCAAAAATAAATGCACAACATAATAACAAAACCTCAGTGCATATAGATGTCACTGCCTCTTTTTTACTTTCTATCTGTTTCATTTAGTCTGAATTTCACTATTTCTCTCTAGAATTTTTTTTTTAAAGACATGATTTTTACCAGTCACAATTTCTGCAACAGAATCAAATTCCTATTCACAGGAATCCAATTACAGTTGGATGTAATTTTTACTTGCTTCTATCTTGTGCATTTTCTCTTTCTGTTCATCACACCAAAGATTTGGTGGATGACTAGAAAATATAAAGGGTCTTTCTTTTACCTACAGAGAAGCAAATACAGAAACTTCCTTTTTCATCCTCTCAGTACTACTCACCCGAAACAATTCATTGACTAGCTGAAGCAAAATACTGGTATTCAAACCTCCATCTTTTACATATGAACTATCAAGGTCAAAACACTGTTCAGTAACCAGCTGACAAACTGCTCACCCTCCCTGCCATGCAACTAAATTACGTGTACTTTTGGCAGGGTTGGAAAGTTCCAAATAGTTAAAAGAAATGACAGTAATGGTGACTGGCTACTTGGCAAGATGAGACATTAATGTCAAAGAAATTACTCTTTAAAAAAAAAAACTTACGCTGAAAATATATTTAATTGCAGTAAGACACTCCAGGATGTGTCATGCTGGGATAATGCCACTTCTTGAACCACTGAAAGCACTCTATGAGCCTCAAAACTCACCCAACGCATGGAATCATTATCATAGCATGACACACACCTGCCGTGTCTTATTGCTTAATTATAACCCACCATAGATGGAAATGTATCACATTTACAATGCAAGTCTAGAAATCAATGAGGCTGCATTTATTCAGCCTGCTCACCTACAGTGGCTATTTCCACCACTGATCTGAAAAATCCATAAGTGTGAGTACCTATGGAGCATAGTGGAATCCTAAGGACTTAAACTTCTGCATTCCTTTATTGTTGAACACAGCAAGGTAAGAACAAAATTACTGAAATTTTACAGTTCAGACAATATAACTACTTTCAGTTGCTGATCCCTTTTGTCAAGTCAAATGTGTCCCACGAAATATTTACCTGTAAACATAAAATATGCTGCTGAAGTGCACTAAAGAGCAATGTTGGCTGAAGTGCTGATGTGCTCTGAAGCTTGCTCCAATCGATTACAACTTTCACGATATCATCTCCGAGGTTAAGCTTCAACAAGGCAAAACAAACACAATAAAAAATTAGGTTATCTATTTCAACATCACAAAAGTATACAAGACTTCTACAAGACAACAATTATGTTCAATCTCACACAGACCCCATCTTTATATGAGGCCACTGGAAACGTCTGATATTAATTATCGTTCAAGCAGCTGCCATGTTCCAAGTAAGCTTGGAACAGTATATTCAAAAATTAAAAATTCCTTACTAGCCCGGCACACTTTCATTGTATTAATTGGGTCCTTAGCTTTATGCAATTAATTATCGTACAAAAACACTGTTCATGTGAGTTACTCATACCATCTTTTCTTTTAACAGATGCTAGAATCACCAGCAGGAAGAAGCATGCACTCAGGATGGCAGCCTGTCAATTCACGTGTTTTATTCCAAGACTTGTAAAACTACCTATGCCTGCATGATCAAGGTCTTCATGTGGCACCATGCCACCTTCTTGATTTTTGTACTCACTGCTAATCCAAAGGGAGCTTTATATTAAAATTAAATAGATAAATAATATTTTACAAATCTCAAGGTTAAACAAACTCTAGACTACACAGCACCACTATCAAACCCATTTCCAAATCACATGATTTTCTGCAGAGAAAAATAACAATTACCAAAGTCTATTCTTTGCCAGCAATAAAACGATAAAGAAAAACATATACTGAATCTGAAGTCTTATTTTAAAATCCCTGTGTCTTCTATAAGATAAAAATAAACTTGTACTTTCTAATACAAAGCCAGCTGTTAATAATCACTAATGAACCACACACTTTCACACCTACCTTTGCCATTTTTGTTACACTAAACCTCTTCTCGAGATCTTGAAGTAATAAGCACTTTCCTTTCCCAAAGCCAACTGGGTTGTTCTTCAACTAAACATCCCGTAAATGATCCCCCAAATTCTAAATACAGATAAAATTCTTGTTTAAAATCAAGAGGACCTACAGGTACTCTGCTTGCAACACCGAATTCCCAATTCCCATGCATATTTGTACATCTACCCCTCACTCCTTCCCTTACAAGAAAATGGGGGGGAAACAGAAAAAGTTATCTCAAGCACATGACAGAAGTCACCTTTCTCTTACACTCTAAAGATATCTAACTTCTAACAGCATCAGATATTATGGACAAAACCACAGATTGCATATACACTTGTTTCCTGAATCCGCCGCACGGTGTATGAGGAAACAATGAGAATGGACACAAGAATGACTCCACCACTCTTCTGAAGGCAAAGCTGTGGCTATTAAGTTGTTCTATGTTAGTTTTGAAGCCCAGCATTATCACAATTTTCTAAGTGAAAAACTACGAGCCTGAGCTTTCCTTCTTTAGTCTAAGATCAGCCTTGTTAAATCCAGCATTAGCTCCCAAATTACATAGCAGAGGTGGTCAGACTAGATATATAGTGTACTTTAGATACGTTTGACACAAATGGTTATTACTGTTTAGTACTTAAACTAGATAGGATGCAGGAAAAGTAATGTTTTGGGAAATGCTAGTTTTTAACACCTTTCAAAACAAAGAGTGTATTAAGAATTGAGTTGGAATAAAATTTACTTTAAGAACTAAGCCACTGTGCCTATGTGACCACCCGAAGCACGTATTTCTCCCCAAAGGTGTAAATGGAAATCATCCTAACAAAACAAAATACAAGTCCTACTGCAATTTCCTAATAAGCCTCTTTTTTCAAAAACAGAGGCTGATGTGTGCCTTCACAGCATAGTGTGAGACTCCTGTCCAGGTGGTTCAATGTACAAAACCAGCAGAACTTCTGACAGAATAATTTAAAGGCCAGTGACAGGCTCAGAGACATTGTTTTTAAATTAAAGAATAATGCCTTCCTGCAACCAAACAAGTTTCCAGTACAATAGAGTAAGTTTTCTTAGTGTTTTACCTCCTTATACCTGTCTGAACTGTAGCAAACAGGTTTATAAATTCAGTGTTTTGATAACTTCAAAGTCTTTGTATGTTTACAAGTCCACAGCCTATTCTGCCGCAATTGACAAGATCATAAGTAATTTCAACCCTTTGAAAATTATTTCATGAAAAACACTGACTGGTATTTGAATCATAAAGAACTTTTCAGGATCAGGCATATTGGTTTTAAGAGTTTTTATCCCCAAATGTCTCCCAGACACCGTGCTGCAATTGACTGCTCTAGTAAAAAAACCAAACCCTATGCCAGAAATATTCCTGTTTGCAGTCCTACCTGCTAGCATAAATCCAATGTAAATTATTATGATGGATCACAAACTGGGCTGCTAAAAATCTGGCACATGTTCCCTCACCTCTAGAAAACAGAAATGAGGAATCAGTAGTTTCAGTCAAACATGCAAAATATATTGCTAGTCAGTAATTGGGTAAAACACAGCAGTTAAATGTATCAGAACTCAAGTGCTGGCAGATAAGTGTGTAACTCAACAACCGGAAAGGATCATGACTGAGCAATTAAAAGGGTTTTCTCAGCCAAGATGGAGCAACCAGGCCCTCAGAGTTCAGTGCAGTGGACAGTTAAATGGGCCTGTTGCCATGGAAAGAAGATGCTCCAAACACCAATGAAGACAATTATACACTGCACCTTAACTATTGTAACTGTACTGAAGAGATGTAGCAACTCTAAGACTAGTTTCTCACACCTGTATGTGCACACCCAGTTATTTTTAAAAATCACTAAGCTCTCTCCAGTGACATGCTAGTTGTACAGCAAACTTTTTAGTGATTTTAAAAATCACTAAGCTCTCTCCGGTGACATGCTAGTTGTACAGCAAACTTTGGAGGACAAGTAAGATACTGAATAAGCAAGTAGGAGTGTTTAATGCATTTTTAAAAACAATTAATTACACTTGTGATCAGTACCCTAATTAAGAGCTTAGGAAACTTTCCCTTTTTTTTTTCATAAATACATGGCTTCCAACTTTTCACTGATGTTAACACTGTAAGAACACTATTCATGACAGTATTACATCTATATAAACTGACAGGTTTTCATCCATCACATTTAGAATTTTCACCAGGAAGAACTATGGGATAATTCATCCTCAATACATAGATAGTTTTCATGTCTAAGTAATCCTATGCATCAGCTGTGTATGATCACCAAGTTGCTTAGCACTGCACTCCTGTTCAAAAGCTAGGGTAGTTTTTAATCATTTTAGAGTTTGGAAAACTTGAGACTTATTAGCCAGTGCCTGAATTTTCAAATGTGCAAATATAGCATAGAGTTCTATACAGATGAGAGGCAAAATGCTCCCAAAACCAATTTTAGATCAGTCAGCAGCTACTACCAAACTGCCTCTATATCTAAGAGTCCATTTCTGAGTATTTTTGTAACATAAACATATTAAGTTACACTAACTCCTGCAAATACCATTCATGATCTGGTCCCAAACCTACAAACTACTAATTTCAGAAACAAGAGTGTGCTTCTGAACACAGAAGCCTTCTGTGTCTTCACAGAACTACATATATGTTTCCACAGTGGCAAATGAATTAATCTGTAAATTATTCATAGTAACAATTGTTACTAAATCCTTCCCCTGAGAAGGGCCTTCTACCACTACTGTGACATTTGTTAAATAATTCATAACCGTTACTTAACCTAAAGTAGGTGTTTCGACTTCAGTACCACAGAGCGAAGTACCTTTAAAAATTCTGACCCATTGAGCTGCATTGTGTGTTTCACAGCACGTTATTACCAAGGCAGGGCTAAACTTCAAGCCACTGCTCGTTTACTTTGATTTAATGCACAGTAAGCTTCCAGTGGCTTTTCAATTCCGAATCATTAAGACACAGCAATTAGGCAGAATGCGAGAATCATTAATTTTTAAGACACAGCAATTAGGCAGAATGCGGTTTCTCATGGGAGAGATCATCGGTCAAACCACATAGTGACACAAGACATCCCGTCACT